GTTTAACATTGACATAGAGTGCTTTCTGTATATATAAGAGATAGTAGGAAGAGTCTTAGCTTTTCAACTGTGTGACATAATGGAAAGAGTACCAATTGAGTCAGTTGGTTCATATCTCACTTTTAAAACCTTAGGTTCTTTGTTAAATCTTCTGGGCCTCAGTTTCGTTATCTAAAAAATGAGAGGGATAGACTAGATGGCTTGGTGGGGTCTCTTCCAGTGTTACATCTTTTCTTGTTCTTAAACATTAGAACCATAGGAAGTTAGAAAAACAACAAAGATCTTTTAGCCCAAACTTTTGATTTTGTAGAGAGGAAATTTTGAGAGAATTTATAGAGAGAAATTATAGAGAGATTTTATATGTATATATATGTGTGTGTGTGCTGAGAACTCAGGATACAAAAAGAGTGGAAAGACAGTCCCTGTCCTCAAGGATCTCGAAACCTAATGGGGAAGACAACAAGCTAACAAACAAGCTATATTACAAGAAGAATAGTAAGTAAATAAGAGAGGGAGGACACTAGAATTAAGAGGGGTTGGGAAAGGCTTTCTGTAGGAAATGGAATTTTAGTTGGTACTTAAAGGAAGCTTGGGAAGGCAGTAGGTGAAGATGAGGAGGGAGAGCATTCCAGGCTCAGGGGAAAGCCAGAGAAAATGCACAGTGCCCAAGATGGAGAATCTTTTTTGTCAGACAGCAAGAATACCAGTGTCACTGAATCAAAGAATACGTAGTGAGGGGCAAAGTGTAAGACGACTGAAAAGGTAGGAGGGGGCTAGGTTGTGAAGGACTTTGAATGCCAAACAGGATTTTGTATTTGATCTTTGAGGCAATAGGGAGCCACTGGAGCGTATTGAGTAGTGGGGTCACATGGTTGGACCTTTGCTTTGGGAAAATCACTTTGATGGCTGAATGGAGGATGGTTTGGAGTCAGGGGAGACTGGAGCCAGGCTGCCCCACCAGCAAGCTGTTGCAGTAGTCTAGCATGGTTTGGACATGATGAAAGTCTGCATCAAAATGGTGAAAATATCAGAGGAGAGAAAGGAACATTTTTCAGAGATGTTGCAAAATGTATTATTGACAGCCACTATGATCTACCTTGTGCTGTAGTTATTTATGTGTTTTGGTTTTGTGGTCCAAATACTACCATTTCCCCACCTCCCCAAAATTGTGAACTCCTTTTGTAAATAAGAACTGTGTCATTGTTGTTGTCAAATTTTTCAGCATGGAACCTTGAACATAGTTAAGTGCTGGATGATTTATCTGTTGAATTGAATTAGATCTCCATAGAAGTTTTTATTCACAATTAAGCATTGATCCTTCTGTGAGAATATTGGTAGGGAAATAAGCTGGAACATTCAGATGTGACCTTTCTATAGTGTAGTGGACTATTGGTTTGAGGACTAACACAATCTGCCACTTTCTAGTCACATGACCTTGGATAAGTCACTTAACATATCTGAATCTCAGCTTTTCCATGTTAAACTTACCTTGTAAATGGTAGACTAAAAAGATAGATTTTAATTGTTTGATTCCTAGTCCAGTGCTCTTTCCATACTAAACTCTTTTTTGTTTTGTTTAGTTTTGTTTTTGGTTAGGCAATGGGGTTAAGCGACTTGCCCAGGGTGACACAGCTAGTAAGTGTTATATGTCTGAGGACGGATTTGAACTCAGGTCCTCCTGAATCCAGGGCCAGTGCTCTATCTACTGTGCCACCTAGCTGCCCCCTATACTAAACTCTTAAACAATTCACTGTGCTTGTATCTTACAGTGTCTTCAGTGCAACTGTATGTAGAAGGCATGCTCCTCATTCAATGATTTACCTTTAACATCTATAAAAACTGTGAAGAGTTTATTTTTGTTTTTAAAAAAATACTTTTGACCAAGTGTCTTTAAGATCCAAATAAAATACTTAAAATCATTGATAGTGCAGCTACGTGGCTCAGTGGATAAAGTGTAGGGCCTGGAATCAAGAAGACCTGAGTTCAAATTATAAGTCAATAAAATTATTTAAGGAGTTGCAAGGGTACACCAAAAATGTTATAATTTCATTTATTAGAAATCAATTTGGAATGTCTGGTTACTGTAGAGGTCAATTAGTTCATTTTTTACTGTTATCACTCATATGAAATATGAATACAGAAAATAAAATGGATTTTTTATACCAATCTCATTCAGTTTTGGTTGGTAGGAATTATTCCTTCAATTGTATCTTTCAAATTTTTTAACAATCCATAAATGCCTAAATTAAATAAAGTATCCATGGGTGAACATGATACATAGGTGTCTTTCAAATACTATGTTGAGAATGAAACTATTGGTTGAAAGAAAATGGAAACAAAAATTTCTCACTAATTTATTTGTGAACTAAACATCAAACAACTTTATAACATGCTAAAAATGCTATATACCAAATAGAGTTTTCTATATAAAAAAACTCTGCTATGTATAATTAAACTGTGCAATTTATTTCCTTTCATATTGAATAGAGGGTATGAAAGGGTTAATGGAAAGCCAAGGGGTGTAGGGACCAAAAGGATTGGGAACCCCTGTCTTAGAGAGTTGTATAGGCACTAAAGGGCTCAGTCACTGGTCACAGAACCAGTGTGTGTCAGAGACAGAACCTGCACCCAGGTCTTCCTGAAGCCATGGTCAGCTCTCTTTATCTACTATACCATAAATGTATCTTCTCTACCATAGATGTATTTTCAGTTTTAAAAATCTGATTTTGAAGTTTTCATATGATTTTTTGATAATGATGCTTTGATTGTTTAAATGATGACATTAATTATAGACTCATCACTTCATAATTTTATTTGAATATTCTGTATTTGAACTATTCTTGAACAATTTTCCTGGTAAAAATTTTGTACTTATAGACTTGGGTTTAGCAATGATCTGGAACCAATTATCTCTTTCTATAAGGAGAATAAATATTCTTATATAAATGTGTTATTGGTTTATTAAAGTGGGATATAAGGAGTTCAGATATTAATTACCAATGGAGGTTTAGTTGTGCCATTTACATCTCAAAATATTATAAGCAATAAAAATTAGTATTCATATATTCCAAGATTTCAGATTACATATTTTATCTTTTGGAAAACACAGTTACATAGAATAATAGAACTAGAGCTGGAAGATAACCTTACAGGAAATGTGACTCCATTATTATACATATGAGGAAACTGAGGCCCAGAATAGTTGTGACTTGTCTGACATCACATAGATAATAAATATTAGAGACTGGCATTTGAGTATTTGAACCTAGGCCCTCTAATTCTAAAATCTGTGTTTTTTCTGTTTTACCATTCAGAAAAGCAGCCATGTTACTAGACCATTTACTTAGCAGTCATATCTTCATAGTAATAATTCATATTTTTATGTAACAGGTTAGGGTTTGCAAAGCACCTTCCTTCCAACAAACCAGTGAAATAGGTGGATCAAGTATTATCACTTCCATTTTACAGATAAGGAAACTGAGGCTCAGTTGAGGCTTGCCCATCTGTAGGCACACAGTTATGAATTGAACCAGTACACAGGACTTTGCCGAAGGTTATGAATAAGATGGACACAGTCCTTTGTGAATATCTTACATATAACTCGCCCATGATTTCATATGTCTTTATAGACATTGTAACCCTTGAGCAGTTTGTGAGCATTTCAGTTACTATGTTTAATATTTTTTCTTCCTTTCATCTCAGTTTCTTTTCACCTTCTCCACTTTATTGATCCAGTTGTATGGTAAGGACTTGGCAGGGACTTTGAGTCCACCTTTTGAAAAAGATTGGCTCTAAGTTAAAATAGTGTTAAAATAACTTTACTTGCAATTCAGGATAATTTTCACTTTAAATTCATTCAGACTTGAAAAATGTTAATAAGCATTGTTTTCTTTAATTAACAAAGAGCCTGTATTTCCTTGGACATTAGTCATAAAGAAATTTGGTGTAGTTAAATAAATAGTATTTCCAATATAGCAGATATTGGGATTGTGATAAACTATGGAATTGGCAGTGAATATCTTGAAAAGGCTAGCTCCTTTGAGCAGGTAAATCATTGTCAATTTTCCTAACTGCTTACAGAACTTGTGATTATATTTATTTGATAGTATAAAAACAGTCTGTAGGTGTGTTGTTGAACACTTGTAATCCCTGCTCCTGGGAGGGATGGGGTTGAAGCTGACAGTTCTCTTGAGCTTGTGGGTTCTGAGCTATATTTGGCTAACGCAATTAAGTATCCACATCCAGTCTATATGATGAACCCTTGTTGGGGGGACCCTAGGTTGCCTAAGGAGAGGTGAACCAGCCCTTGTCAGAAAGCCCCTGTGCTGATCAGAATGAGATCTGGCCCGTGATTAGCTCCCACAATTCCAGCTTGGTTGAGATAAGGAGACCCAATCTATTTTTCTTTTAAATTTATTTATTTTTAGTTTGCAACATTCACTGCTGTAAGCTTTTTAGTTTTAAATTTTCTGCCTCTTCCTCCCTACTTCCCTTCCTAAGATGCCGGGCAATCTGACATAGACTCTACATCTACGTTCGTATTAAACATGTTTTCACATTAGTCATGTTGTAAAGAAGAATTAGAATCAATAGGAGGAACTACAAGAAATAAGAAACAAAACAAAACAGAAGAGAAAAAAGAGCAAATAGTATGCTTCGATCTGCATTCCAAGTCCATAGTTCTTTCTCTGGATGTAGATAGCCTTTTCCATCATGAGACTTTTGGAGATGAGACCCAATCTTTTTTAAAAAATAAAATAAAAATAAATAAAAAGGAAAGCAAAGAAATTATCTCGTTATAACAAATATCTGTACTTTGCCTTCTGAATGAAACTTCAGGTCTGAATTTTTTTAGGAAACATTCATTAATTACTGGTTATTTGTATCTTTTTCACATGGAATCAGCATTAGTTGTAAAATTTCTAAGTGTTTTCCACATTTACTTCATTTATCTCATGTTGAAACATTGGTTGTTAATTTTATACTTTTTATATTTTCAGATAACTTGGATTTTTACTCCAATAACAGCTGAAATAGCAAGTCTTGATAGTGGAAATATAGATGAAATTTTAAGTAAGTACTTGGAAACTTAATTTTCTTTTTATAATTACTATTCCATAAAGAATTGCCTGTGTGAAATTACTGTAAAACTCTGACTAATTGGAATACTTGGGAAATCAGTATTTTGACTAATTTAATTTCGTTAGTAATTGAAGGGAAACCAGAAAATACTTCTGATTTCAAGGATTGTTTAATCTTTCTAGAAATATATTGCAACTTCCTTACTCTATTGAATATATTAAACAACTTTATGTTTTTGTGATAATTCATCGTCTTATTATAGCTCAGTTTGTATTACAATTCTTAATATCAGTTTCAGGCTGACTTACAAATTCAGTTCTCACTATGTATATATAATACAGTAGACATGGACATTATAGTATTTGGAGCTGTGTACTTAATGATCTGAAATCATACTCCAAAGGTTGCTCTTTAAACAAAATCACTGATAATTTGATTAGTTGTCAACTACCTCATTTATGAAAAAATGTACTTTTTTTGATGCCTTATTGGTTGAAAATTGCTGCTTAGTTACATTCCAAGCAGATAGTGTTTTGTGGTTATATTTACAAGTAATGTGATTGTAGCCTCTGTTAAAGAGTTTGGGGATGGGTATGGAGATGGTTTTCCATTTTTGAAATAGTAATAGGAAAGTTACTTTGTGGATGGTGATTATAATTTTGAGGTAAAACATGTGATTTGTTGAAAAATTTAAAAACTTTGTGTTTTTAGAGTTTGCTTAAGTTTTTCTTTAGTGATTGTTACTGTTAAGTAATGTATCAATATCCACTCATTGGAGTAATACTGCAAAAATTAAAGTGATATGGGTTAAAATAAACAGCATTTTATAATGAATGTTAGGGGACATGCAAATATATTGTTGTAATATATTTTGTCGAAATCGAAGTCCTACTCTGAAAGACCTCTCTGTAGTTAATTAGGGAGTCAAAAGAAGTGATTCAAATCTAGTAAGTTGATGGGGGAGGTATTACATCTGTATCACTTTTTGTCTAAGGCCTGAGCTATTTTCCCGGTTTGTTTTGATGGGTAGTGTGGAATTTAAGTGGCTTTTTGCAACTTGACGGCAAGGCAAAAGTATTATATGGAATTTGACTTTCTCCTCATTCCTTCCTGTGGTGATATGCAAAAATCATAATTATTTTGTTATAGAGAGTTATTGATAAGTGAATAGGGACCAAAGAAAATACAGTTAATCCTCAATTTTTGTGAGGACAATGTTCCTAGAAAACAGTGCAAAAGTAAAAAATGTGAATATTGATACATTGAAACTATGGGTGTTAGATTCCCATGACCGTCGAACACTTTTTGCTAGTATTTTGCTAGAGACTGCTGAAAATATACTTTTCTGCATATAGTTCTTTATAACAAAATATTAGTTCTGATAATATACACTTTCCCTAACACAGTAACTGTGAAATAACCCATAAAGTAGACAAAATAAAATTGGCAACATGCAAAAAACATTTTTTTTCCTCTCTAGTAATTCCGTGGAATTCTGTGAACTTTTGTGTCAATATCTCAATTTAAAAAATATTGATTTCAGATAATATTCATTTTTCATAATACATGAAATCTACACTCCCTTAAATACTGACTAGCAAATAAAATTCTTAAAACGAAAACATTTTTAAACTTCTTAACTTCCACTATCAGATGGTAGTGTGAGGGCGTTGTGCTCTACACAGACTACCTTGGAGATATTGTAGGTTAGGTTTCAGACTACTGCAATAAAGTGAATATCACGATAAAGCGAGTCACACAAATTTTTTGATTTCTCAGTGCACATAAAAGTTATGTTTACCCTATACTGTAGTGTATTAAGTGTGCAGTAGTATTATCTATAGAAAAAAAAGCAATGTACGTACCCTAATTAAAACATCCTTTATTGCTAAAAAATGCTAACTATCACCTGAGCCTTTGGCAAGTCATAATCTTTTTGCAGGTAGAGGTTCTTGCTCTGATGTTGATTGATGGCTGCTGACTGATCAGGGTGGTGGTTGCTGAAGGTTGGGATGGCTGTGGCAATTTCTTAATAAAAGACAGCAATGAAGTTTGCCACATTGATTGACTCTTCCTTTCACTTGAACACTTAGAGGTCATTGTAGGGCTATTAATTGGCATAATATCAATATTATTGTGTGTCAGGGAATAGGGAGGCCGGAGGAGAGGGAGAGAGACAGGGGAACAACCAGTCAGTGGAGCTGTCAGAACACACATAGCATTTATCGATTAAATTCATCGTCTTATGTGGGTATGGTCTGTGGTGCCCCAAAACAATTTCAGTAGTAACGTTAAAGATCACTGATCATAGATCACCATAATAGACATAATAATAATGAAGAAGTTTGAAATACTGTGAGAATTACCAAAATGTGACACAGAGACAGGATGTCAGCACATAGGCTGTTGGGAAAATGATGCCAATGAACTTGCTCAACGTGGGGTTGTCACAGATCTTCAGTTTGTAAAAAATAGAATCTCTGAGAAGCACGATAAAGTGAAGTGCAATAAAATGAATTAGGCCTGTACTATATTGCTATAAACCTCTCTACCTTGGCTGCCCTCTGAAAACCAAGGACTTTAGTCACTGCTGTTGGAAAGTCTCACCATCATGTTAGAGCCCAAATGACTTCCATTCTGCTTTGGAGGCATAATTGTAACAACAAAACTTGAGTTTTAAAAACAAACAATGGAAATATGTAATAAATACATGGGGAGCTCTTTCCAACAATAGGGTGAACATGAACAATGAAACAGCTACTAGGATGCCCGCTGCTCCACAAACTTACGCATATTGTGCCTCTATTTTTTTTCTCTACTTTGTATAGCTGTGAGTGTGCACGTTTGCCAATGTAAAAGTGAAAATGAGGTTACTAGGGGGCAGCGAGGTGGCACAGTGGATGGAACACTGGCCTTGGACTCAGGAGGACCTGAGTCCAAATGCGACCCCAGACACAAAACACTCACTAGCTGTGTGACCCTGGGCAAGTCACTTAACACCATTGCCTAGCCAAAAAAAAAAAAAAAAGAAAGAAAATGAGGTTACTAATAAAGTCATGTGAATGCTTGAAGTCACAAAAGTTAAATGCACAAATGTTGAGAATTGGACTGTACTTGCTATATGGTATTGTTAGTTGTAGAAAAATTGTTGTGATCAAATGGACCATCTTTTAGAATTTTGAAGTAGCTTTGTGCCTATGTAGCCAATCTTAATTTTCCCTGCTAATGGAGCTTATACACAAATCTCATTTACAGCGCTTAGTTTTATTTCTCCCCTAGCTCTTATGAAAGCTGATACCTGTAGCTAAATTGATTTATCTTAAATTGATCCTTCTCCTTCCCCTGATCCTTTGTAGTGCCAAGAACAATGAAACCATCTAGAGAGAATGTATATTAGAAGACTGTGAAACAAAGGGGGACTTCAATAACTGTATAAGTTAGCCCTGACTGATTGCATGCGGGTTTCTGAATAAAATTCAGATGATAGTAACAGGAAAAATATGGATATAAGTAACTTAAGTATGATTTTTTTTTAAATTTCAGACAATGCAGATGTTGCTTTAGTTAATTTTTATGCTGACTGGTAAGTAACAGTTTTGTTTTCTTGAATATTAATATTTTTATGTTTCATAATTGAATTTTTTCTGGTAGGAAGGATTGGGAAATCTTTTTTCTCCCATATTTATGGCCATTTAGATGTAAGAAAAGGGCAAGGGAGCACATACCAATAAAAACAGTTTAGTGAATTGTTTATTTTAGGAGGGAGAAAAATATTTTCTCCACTTTTTCAGTTAATAGGTAGCACAAAACTCCATTTGATAAATATAGTAGAGAACAGAAAATATATTCTGGTTCCTTTTGGCCAGCTAAAGAGAGAAAGAGAGGTGAGGGGGAGGATAAAGAAAAGGAGTGATGAGAAAGAGGAGGAAGAAATAAGAAAAATAGAGGAGAATAGGAGGAAATATATTGGAGGGATTACCCTCTTGTGCTCAGATGTCTAAAAGATATAGCACAAGGAAAGCTTTAGTTACTCTTAACAGCTTCATTATGGGACAAAATATCTTCCCTGAGTTCTTTATCCTTAATCTTTGCATGATTTAGTTTTTATGGTATAGATGGCAAAAAGGGAAAGGAAAATCCTAACTATTATTTCCGTAGTGTGCCTTAGAGTTTATAAATTATTTTTCTCACAACTTCACAGTTAGCTAAGAAGTACAGACACTTCCATTTTAAAGATGAAGAAACTGATGGTCAGAGAAATTGGGTGACTTGTTTGCAAGATATGTGGCAGAAGCAGGCACGTTCTCAGACCAGCTCCCATGGTCCTGGAGAAATAGAACAGAACTTAACAGTATAGTAGGGCTAATGATCATCTAGTATTCCCCCTCCTTTGTTTTAAACTTTTATTGATGCCTTTGGTTTTTATATTGCCTTAATTTCTGAATGAGGCAGCCAGGTGGCTTAGTGGATAGAGTGCTAGGCCTGGCGTGAGGAAGACCTGAGTTCAAATCAGATCTCAGACACTTAATAGCTGTGTAACCCTGGGAAAGTTACTTAACTTATGTTTGCCTTAGTCTACTGGAGAAGTAAATGGTAGGCTACTCTAGTATCTTTGCGAAGAAAACCTCATGGACAGTATGGCCCCAGGATCATGAAAAGTCAGACATGACTGAATGATTGAACGACAGTTTACGAATATGTCCCTTCCTCCTTCCCTGACTAATAAGTGAGTCATTATTTATCAGGTACTTATAGTGTACTAAAGACTCTGCTAATAATCACTGGGGATACAAATTAAAATTTAAGATAGTTTTGGTTCTTAAGGTTTTTATCTTTTAATTGGGAGAGAGAACACACATTGGAGGTTTCAGCAGCAGGGGGGATGGCAAGGCCCAGGGGTTCAGCAGGTGTGTTGGTAGATCAAGTGGCAATGCCTGGCTGTCTGGAGGGCATTAGCATTAGGGTAGATAGTAAGGCCTAGAGGCCCCCCTTCTTATTGCAAGGATTATAATTGATGCATCACTGCTCCTTGCAGTATTTTTCAAGTTTAAAGCTTTTTTTTTGGGTAAACACACACACATGCATACACGCGCATAATTTTTTTTCATGATGTGTGTTAGGGACTTTACATACAAAGATCTCTATCTAAAATAGATTGCTTTTCTTTTGTGCTAATTGGCAAGCATGGAGATGAAACCACCAAGCTTGAGTTAGTCTAATATACTAATTTGATTCATGATTGATCTGTAATTTCTTTCACTGTACCAGCAGATATTGGTACACACATCTGCCCACTTCAGACTTAGTAGATAAATCCTAGGGAGTTGTGCCTGAGACTAACGGAAATTAGGAGACTTGCCATAGGCTCACCCAGCTAGGAAGGGTTAGAGGCAGAACATGAATCCATCTGTTTTGAAATCTAAGCCTAATAACCCTCTGTAAATTCTTGTCACCTTTCTACTTTTAAAGATAACTTAACAGATATAATAAAATCTGAGTATTATAGTGATAACCAAGCACTTTTCTGAAAGCTTTAGTTTCAGTTTTATAGGTAGTATTGTCATGTCACAGTAATAGCACAGATTTCTCTGTTTCAGTGCAACTCTAAAAGATCTTTAGATCTGTATTCATTCTGTAAGCCTTAGATACTTTACTTCCCTTACAAGAAAACCTATCTACATCTTCATTCTTATATACTCTTTTTGGTCTTTGAATTCCTTTAGAAAAATACCAAAGTGGTTTAACTTTATTTGAAAACTGTTACATTGTAAATAAATTAATGGTATATTTTTTCAACATGAATAAACTCACAATGAGTATTAATAACTATAATAAAATCTGAGTACTTTATTTTTCCATTTTAATTTGTATCTTCACTGTGAATAGGTGTCGATTCAGCCAGATGTTGCATCCAATTTTTGAAGAAGCCTCCAATGTCATTAAGGAAGAATATCCAAATAAGAATCAAGTAGTGTTTGCCCGAGTAGATTGTGATCAGCACTGTAAGTACTCAGTCATATTGTTAGTGGCAGGGATCATCTTGTTCATTTTAAATGCTTTGTTACAGTCTATTTGAAGTGGCATATCAAAAACGATTTTGTGACCTTTTCCAAGATGATGGTGATTGTTAATGTTTAATCTTGGAAACTTATTACCTAAAGCTTTACTTTTATCTTTGTGAAGTATTAAATCGTGATACGGTTGGATTGGTTTTGTTAAAAAAAAAATATATATATATATATATATATGCATATATATTAGATGAGGAAGAAGGAGAACTGGTACAAAATAACAAGGTTTTAATTAGAGCAGTAATAATAAAACTTACTCAGATTTAAAAATAGATTTTAAACTGGGTATGAATAATGATCGGACTTCTGATGTCTTTAGAAACATCTTAAAGATTGACCACAATAGAGATTTTTATGTTTGTTTGTTTGCTTGTTTTGGATAAGATCTGTGATTTGATCTGTGTAGGCAACTCCTAGTGAGGAAAAGCCCTCCCACTAGATGTAGTGCTCAGAATCTGACCCTCTTGGAGAGTTCTCTGGGAGCACTGAGAGACTAAGTGAATTATGTGACTAGGGTCCCATAACCAGTGTTTGTCAGAGGCAGGACCCAGCATCTTCTGACACCAAGTTCATCTCTCTCCCCAGGACTCCCGGGCTGCCTCAGCTGTTATAGTTATTTAAATCTTTTTTTTTTTTTAATCACAGTCATTAATTATTTGATTAGATTTAATGGATTATTGTTAATTACTGTGGCACTTTATAACATCTTTGGAAGCTCAATTGTCTGATTGCTATTATCATTTGAGCACTTAGAAAGATCTTATGTATGACTTATTTGAAGTCATATATTAGCACTGAATACCCTTCATGATATGGTTCATGTTTCAGTGCGCAAGAGCATGCCTGTCAGTTTCCTTTAACCTTCGGCTAAGAAGTGAGTATCAGTGCTGGAAGTAGTGCCTACATCTTAGAACTGTCATTCTTAGGAGTTCAGTGTCTACCTCACTGCTAATTAGACGCCTCCCACTCTCCCTATCAGCTTTTCTTTGTTCTACTCATTCTGTGGAAAGGATTAGAAATAAAAATACCAGACTTAAAGAATTTCTCAAACCTTCTATTCACAGTTTTCCCTCTCACAAGCTAATAACTCATTCCTAATCTAAATAATTAAGCAAAAGGATAGAACCTCTAGCAGAGATATCTCACGCAGGTACAGACAGAGTTCTTATCCTTCTTCATCCCACACCACTTCATAGGTTCTATCTCCTTCACCTCAAAGACTTTACAGGGGCAGATAGGACACTAACTCCTAGTTTGAAAATGTGTGGGTTATCTATTGGGTACTACAGGGTACATAGCAAATCAGAAATCATGTTTTCATGCCTAGAGTTCCTAGGAAAAAAAGTAGATACTCTCCTTATAGACTGTCAAATCCTCCGTTGTATGTTGGAGAGATGCAGTCGTTCTTAAAGTCTAAAGTGTGCTGGCCTCAGTGCCCATATTTACCAGGTTTTGTTGTTTTTAGGTTTGTGTTTTGCATCTGCTAAGTCTTGTGTAGATGGCATTTCTTCCATTAGAGACTTATAAATTCAAGTTTCTAGCCATAACTTCTGTTGATGGAAGTTACATATAAATGCATTTTCTTAAAATTTTTTTCCCCCAGTGCTTAGCACCATGCCTGTCATGTAGTAGGAACTTAAGAAATGCCTGTTGACTTGACTTTTCCCCCTACTATGAGAAATTCTTGCATTTTAAAAAAAAATGGATGACATGGTAACTTTAATAAGTTGGTCATTGTTTTCTCCATACCTTTGTTCCTCTCGAGCTCTGTTGCTGGTCTTGGAGTTGATTTTGTGTGAATTCAGGGTGGAAGAGTCGCCCTGTAGCAGTGGTGCTGGTGACCCTGTATTTTTCAAGTTAATATGCAGGGTGATCCAGGCAGTGTGCAAGGTGGATTCTTCTCATACTACCCTTTAGGACAAGGTATTTTTGTTGTGATGTTTTTAAAAATTACATTCTTCAACTATTTGCCTGTAAAACAATGGTCAGAAACTTCCTTAATTCTAAGACACAAGCAATGCTTATGGATACCACTCTCAGAAATTATTTTGGCTCAATGTAATGAAGAATTTCCTAAGAAGTAGAGCTATCAAAAATTAATTAGGTTTCTCCAAAGGTAGTGTATTCTTTTCCACAGAAGTGTTAGAGGATGGATTATCATTTGTCTGGGTTGTCAGAGGAGTTTCTATTCCATCCAGGTAGAAAGAGTAGATGGCCTCTTAGGTTCCTTCTAGGGCAGCTAGGTGGCGCCATAGTGCATAAAGTGCTGGGCTTGGGAGTCAGGAAAACTTGTCGTCCTGAGTTCAAAATGGCCTCAGACACTAGCTGTGTGACCCTAGGCAAGTACGTTAACCTGTTTGCTTCAGTTTCCTCATGTGTTAAATGAGCTGGAGAAGGAAATGGCAAACCACTCCAGTACCTTTGCCAAGAAAACCCCAAATGGGTCACTAAGAGTTGGACACAACTGAACAAGTTTCTTCTCACTCTGAGATTGTGACCTGTGAAATCCGTTCTGTAACTCTAAGAGTCTCTGATTGTTTAAATTTATATTTTCTTCTTAGCGAGGTTGAGCATTTTTCAAACAATTATTTATAGTAACCTGTTGGAGATTGGATTTTGCCCTTAAGTATTATTATCAGTTCTTTATCACTTAATGACTTTTTTTTTTTTTTGGAGACTGATACATGGGAGCATAGGATTTAGAGGTGAAAATTTCCCTTGAGGTCTTCAAGTCTAACTCTCTCCTTTCCTGATGGAAAATGGAGACTCCGAGAGGTGAAATAAGTTGGCTAATATCATCCTAGGAATGTCTACTTGGTTACCTCATTTCTATCCTTGTAAATATTTCTGCTGTAGAAAGAAAACCCAAGGCCTCTCCCCCTCAGTCACAGATCCCGTATGGTTCCTTTCAAGTAGGAGATCGCCATGTCACTTGAGTAGCCTCCTTTTCAAGCATTTTAGGTTTTTTTTTTTTCCTTAACAGAGTAAGACTTCTTTCTTTGATTGGACTTATTCACTGAATGTGCTCTCTTTTCTCATACTACCTTTGAAGATAATGTTTTGATGCAACATGCTTTGCAACAAGCATCACTCCAAACAAACCCCACTGAAAAGCATATCATTGCCCAGAAAGTTAAGCAAAACTGCCTAGTGGTGTTGTCAGCCATTTGAGAGAAGACGTGTGCCATTGAGAGAGAGGTGTGATCATGAAGTCTTATCTTTTCTTTTTTTTCCCTCATACAGTCATTCCATAATGTACACCCAGCTAAGTCGCTTAGGACTCTTTACTCCTAATCTAGTGGTTTTTTTTGCTATATCAGACCTTTAGTTTTTGCCTTCAAGTCAGCTTCCAAAAGCTTCTAGTTTTTTAAAAATTCTAATACTCTTATATTTACTCATATCCCTTTGATGAGAATAATAAATCATAGTAATAGCTCTATTTTGTGTGGTATAAGAAATAGGACAGGAATATTGTGAAGAACTATTATTTGTACTATATTTTAAAAATCTTTGCTTTGACCCTTCTGTCCTTGGCTACCACACCATATCTTTCTTCCCTTTCATTTCTAAGCATTGATTTCAGATCCTTGGGTGGTGACTTAGTGGCCTCATGATCTTGGGCTCATCACTTACTTTCCCCTGTCCTCAGTATTCTCATATGCTAGGTGAGGGAGGTGAACTAGATCAGGGGTTCTTCATCTTTTTTGTTGAGTGGACCCCCTTTCTCAGAATGATGTTTTTTAAATTAATAATATACATAAGATTATAAAGGAAATCAATTACACTGAAATACAGTTATCAAAATATCTATTTTTAAAGTACATGGCCTTGAGGTTAACAACCCCTAATGGATGAAATTCTAAGGTCCCAAATCAGAAATTCATGATTTAACATAGCGCTATGGAATTTATTGTAAACATCAACTTGGTGAGGTAGGTAATGCATATATTATCATAGTGGTGTTTTTTTTTTTAAAAGACAAGGAAAATGAGGTTCAGAGAGCCCCAGGTAGGTACAGTGACTTGCCGGAGGTCATACAGTGAATTCATGGCACAGCTAGCCTAGCGTTTCCTCTGTACCCCTATTTCTTGCTCCTCAGATCTTCCCTACAAACTTATATTAGTAGAACACTGTGAAACAATAGGTGTTAAATAGTTCATTTGTCTTATAGAAGCTCAAGTTGAATTGATTTATATTCAGAGAAAACATCAGGGCTCCTTGTCTTACTAAAGTCAGTTCTAAGGGTAAGTTAGACAGTCTGGTAGATTGGGAATAGCACTGGGATTAGCCAGAGAAGTTGGGTTCAAACCCTGACTCTTCTGTTGGTGACCTTGGAAAGACAAGTCCATTAACCTCTCAGTTACCTCTTCTCTAACACCTGTCTTCCTGTGAATTCCTTAGTGATGGGTTATACTGTGCAGGGAGAGGGGGCCAGCGGAGGAATCTAGGTATTGTCCTGGAGTTTTTGTGGAGCACATCAAAAAGTACGCTGTTAGCAGTTTGATTGTATGCATGCTGCCTATTGCAAGTGTCTCTGCTTTAAGTAATAAGGCAGCTATAATTGACCAAGGCCTGTGGAATCCTTGTAAGACCTGAACCATCTGCATTTAGCAATTTTATGTTAATGGTGGCTACCCTGCAATTATAGATTTTAAATCTGAATAGAGATATTTGATCAGCTTGAAATTTCATATAGAGGAGACCTTAACTATATAGTTTGTACACAAGAATTCCCTTAGGCTATCGTATCATTTAACTCTTTCCCTAAACTGTGTGTATTGTACTACACGGGATGAAGTGCGGTCAAATAGGGGTACCTTCAGAAAAACTTGAGATAGTGGGAGAAAGTGTCTAAGGTCTTTTCAGGAAAAAAAAAATCTTTCTCCACTTCTTTTTTGTCAATGAGCGGTTACATTTAAGGAGAGAACCTGAAATTCCTATTAGATGAGACAGGGTTTTGGGCCCTATTTTGTCACAGTCATAACTGTTGACCTGCCAGTAGGTTTATATTGTAGAAGGACCCATGAAAGGAAGATATGCCCTTCCACTAGAAGGAGTCTATTTTTGTTGTAATAAGTAATTAATTTTATGTTATTACTTGGGATGACTTCTCATGTTTGATGAAAGGGATTCTCACTCTTCCTTCTTAATAGGGGACACTTAAACATTTTTAAGTTACATCTATGATCTGGATCTGGTTAGCCATCAATGAAAGTTGGAAGAAGGGATCTATGCTTTTGAAGATTGTAAGAAAGAATATATATAACCATAAAAACAAAGAGAAAAGTAAAATGTTGAAAAGCAGAATATATCCATTCTTCCTTCCCAGCTTGCTTTTCTTTATTCCTCCATCCCTGCTATTGAAATCTTTCTATTAAAGGCTCAGCTCAAATGCCTTCTTATCCAAGAAGCCTTTCATGATCCCAGCAGATTGTAATGTTCCTTTCATGCTTCCTTTTCTTTTCTTCTTCTTCTTCTTGTGTTTTGTTTTTTTTTTTAACAATTATTTGTGTGTAGGTCTTTCTCCTCTATCACATTAGAAGTGTCTTGGGGAAAGTAAAATTTTATTTGTTTTTATTTCCCTTGCAAGATCTAGTGCCTTACAATCTGTCAGTCAACAAGCATTTAATTAAGTGCCCTACTAGGGAGTTACTATATAACTAGGGAGTTATATGGAGTATATATAGTGCACTGGGCCTAGAGTCAGGAAGACCAGAGTTCAGCTTTGGTCTTAGACACTTGCTAGCTGTATGAACCTCGTCAAATCATTTGACCTCAGTTTGCCTCAGTTTTCACAATTACAAAATGGGGATAATAATAGCACCTACTTTGCAGAATTGTGAGGATCAAATGAGATGATATTTGTCAAGTTCTTAGTACAGTGCCTGGCACGTGGTAGACAATAAATATTTATTTGTTTCTTTCCTACTAGATTGTTAGCTCCTTGAAGGCAGGGATTGAGTGTTTTCTTAACTTTGTACTTATACTGTGTTATATACACAGTAGACACTGAGTAAATGTTAACTGACTTGATTTTTGATAAGACAAAGGCTCAACTTACCTAGTCTCTTAATATGACTGAAGCAGTTTGTTTTTTTTTAACTTTTCCATTCTCTTAGCGGAAATAGCCCAAAGATACAGGATAAGCAAATATCCTACCCTAAAACTGTTCCGGAATGGTATGATGATGAAGAGAGAATACCGGGGTCAGAGATCAGTGACAGCAATAGCAGATTACATCAGGCAACAGAAAAGTGACCCTATTCAAGAAGTTCATGACTTGGAAGAAATCAAATTTCTTGATGTAAGTTCCTGAAGCAACTTTGTTCAGTACCTGTCTTATAAAAAGAGCTTCATTACATTAGAAATCGTATTATAACAAAAAAAAAAAGGTGACAAATTACAGTTCTTTAGCCAATATGTTATTTTTTTTGGATTCACTTCAACATTTCAGTATAATCAAAAAGTGACTGCTCTTAAAGCTTGTTATAGGATTAAAGTTTATTGTAACAATTTTATCTGTACTGATTTTACTTTTTGAATTACATTTTAAGATGGAGGCTATCATTTTGCTACATGAAAAATTGTTGATTAGAATGTATAGAGTACATTTAAATCTGACTAATTTGAGTTTATTGACAGGGAAGAGGAAGGTGTAAGTCTATTAAAAGAAGTCCAGATTTTTTTCCCCCATTCACATGGCTTAAGCTAGGTTAACCAAAGAGATAGTATAGAAAAAGACAACAGAATCGAAGTCTAAAATCTTGTGTTTACATCTTGGTTCTGCTACTTTCTTTCTGCGTGACCTTGGCAAAGTCACTTATTAATTTTTCTGAAGTTTCTGTATCTGTGGAAAAAAAAAAAAAGGGAACTGGGCCCCCTGTGTACTAAGGCTCCTTTTCACTCCTAAGTCAGTGATCCTAGGAGAAGTATCTTATGTAGTTATTTTATGAATTTGCTTTAATGAATTAGGATAACTTGTAACCATTTGTCTATTACTTGTTTACATGTAAGTATTAATTTGAAATGGTGTTTGAAAGCAATTTATCTTTTTAAATATTTTAAGTATTTTCCCCTCATTACACTATTAATTTACCTTAAAATTCATTTTTTCCACCATAAATTGTGCCAAGGTCAGTTGATAAGTGTTTAGGTGTTTACTACATGAACTTGTAGTCAGCCCAACTTTTTTTTATATCATCACAAATGTTAAAATTGTGTAGTTCCACTTACTAAGGTTTTATTGTATTTTAAAATGCATCCAACCCAAAGTTTAAAATTTTAAATGAGAAAAAAGACTTGCTAATTAAACATTTAAAAATAGTTTTTGGCCTTTCAAAATAAAATGCTGAAAATAAATTTTAATAAATTTCTGGCTGTCATAAACATCAATACTAAACCAAGCATTTTTTCATATGATGAGTTTTAAGTGTTTGAAGTTGAATTTGTATTTGGTTACATATATATTTGGAAACATGAGTAACAGCTATAGCTCTTTAGATACCTGAGGAAGAAGTATATAGTGTCATGTTGATACAGCATGGAATAGAGTGGAGAACATTATAGATAAAAAACATTATGTGCATGCTTTTTTTTTATGTTTATAGCGCAGTAAAAGAACAATCATTGGATATTTTGAACAAAAGGACTCAGACAACTATAGAACCTTTGAAAGAGTAGCAAATATTTTGCATGATGATTGTGTCTTCTTTTCTGCATTTGGGTAAGTTGATTAATGTTGGTATTTGTATTTTTTATTTTTGACTCAAATGACCTCATAGATCTCATCTCACTCTGAGACTTTGTAATGTGACTTTCTATTAAATTTCAGCTGCTGTTGAAGGGCATTATTATATATATCTAACATAGTTGCTCTCTCCTAGAGCCCCACAGTGCCTCAACCCTCCATTGCTTTTAGGCAATGCAAAGAGTGCATCTAAGTATCCTGCCTAACCAAGGTCTAGAGGAATGGGATCAGAGAGTAACTGGGGTCCCACGGTGATGCAAAAATTGAGGGTGGGTACTGGAAGTCCTTAATGGATAAGGCAAGGTGAAATCCAGAGAAAGAGATAAAGGGCATCCCTCAAACTGGAAAACTAAAGCCTTACATTTAGAGGAGAAAGCAGCCACAGAAGTATTGATGGGAGCAACTTAAAACCAGAGAGCTCAGCTAGAAGTTACCAAGACAGAGGAACCAGGGTAGCAAACCAGACAGGTAGGGGACAAACTGACAAATAATTGACAGTTGAAGCTCTTAACACTGTTGATCGTGCTACTATCTTAAAGGGCATGCTCCTTAGTGTGAAGTTAATACATTACCAACCAGCATTATTGCAGGCATTGCTAAACTGAGTGCTGTATAATTTTGATTTTAGTATTGCTATTGTCAATAATCATCACCAAGATTCAGCCCTAGTAACCTTGAAGATCGACCATGTGTATCACTACTCTCTCCTTTGTCCTGTTAAAGATCAATATCATGCTTTTCCATAGGACCTAATACCACCTGGCATACTATTGCAATATATGAAAGAATTTGAAGTCTAGGCCATCCTAAATACCAATCTCCGCTAGGGTTCCAATAACTCATGGACAGAAAAGGGACCCAGCAATAGCACTTTTGGGGCTATATCCCAAAGAGATCATACAAATGGGAAAAGGACCCACATGTACAAAAATATTCATAGCAGCTCTTTTTGTGGTGGCAAAGAATTGGAAATTGAGAAGATGCCCATCAGTTGGGGAATGGCTGAACAAGTGGTGGTACATGAATGTAATGGAATACTATTGTGCTGTAAGAAATGATGAACAGGCTGACTTCAAAAAAACCTGGAAAGACTTGTATGGTCTGATGCTGAGTGAAGTGAGCAGAACCAAGAGAACGTTATACACAATAACAGCCATGTTGTGCAGTGAGTAATATTGATAAATTTAAACCTTCCCAGCAATACAGGGATCTAAGACATCTCCAAAGGCCTCGTGATGGAAAATGCTGTCCACATCCAAAGAAAGAACTATGGAATTTGAATTGCTATTTTTTTTCTTCTGTTGAGTTTTGTTTCCTCTTTCTGGTGGTTCCTCCTATTGGTTCTAATTTTAATTACAACATCACTAATGTGAAAATGTTTAATAGGAATGTATATGTATAGCCTATATCAGATTGTGTACCATCTTGGGGAGGGTGGTGGAGGAAGGGGGAGGAAAATTTTAAACTCAAAAGCATATGGAAATGGTTGTTGATAAATCAAAATAAATTAATAAAAAAAGAAGGGTATAGCCGAAAACACTAGGTACATGTGGGAGCTGGTCACCCCTATTTGTACTAGCTGGTTAGTCAAGGCTTTCTATCACTGCTACCTTACAAAACCAGGCCTCCTCCCTCCAACCTAACAAAAGTTACCTCCAAGGTAACACTGTCTAAAGAGGCCTGGCTTATACTGTTTTGAAGAGATACAGAATGAGAAAACTCTAATCCAACATCCTCTTTGGGAAGAAATCTTTGATCTTTGCTCAACCTTGCCTTACTTTCAGGTCTCAACTGAACATGTTGGCTACGATTCCATGTTTCCCCCCTTTGCCTCCCTTCTTTCTTTTCTGTGTTTTCTCCTCTACCTCATCCTGATCTGGCAAAATATCCTGACCTTTTCTTAAGCTTTCTCTAACTCATACCTCTTAGTCCTAGTCCCCTCTTCTCTTAACAAAGCATTTGTCTATCTAGCCCTACTTAACACCTGGATAGCAGATCTTAAACTCCTTGTCTGTGTTCTTGCATTCCTGATATTTGGTGATCTGGTCTTATATACTGAGCCCCTAGCAGTAAGAATTCTTGTAAAGTCCTTTAGGTAATTTCAGTTAGAGTTGTTCCATCACAGGCAGTAGCTGAGAATATTTGTAAAAATTCTTTAAAACCAGAATATTCAACTAGATAACTTCTGAGCTCCTTTCTAATGCTAAATCTGTGATCCTATGATCTTTTGATGGTAAACAGACCCCAAATTCTGCAGTCATATGGTTCCCCAGCCCTGGTAGGAGTTTGATATGGGGCAGAAATATTAAATGCGTCCTTTTCGGATCATGATGCAATAAAAATTACATGTAAGAAAGGGCCATGGAAAGATAGACTGAAAACTAATTGGAAACTAAATAATCTAATCCTAAAGGGTGAGTGAGTCAACAACAAATGATAGAAACAGTAACTTTACCCAAGAGAATGATAATAATGAGACAACATACCAAAACTTATGGGATGTAGCCAAAGTGGTTCTTAGGGGAAATTTTATATCTCTAAATGCTTATATGAATAAAATAGAGAAAGAAGAGATCAATGAATTGGATATGCAACTAAAAAAGCTAGGAAAAGAATAAATTAAAAATCCCCAATTAAATACCAAATTAGAAATTCTGAAAACCAAAGGAAAGAGTAATAAAATTGAAATTAAGAAAACTATTGAACTAATAAATAAAACTAAGAGCTGGTTTTATGAAAAAAAAAATCCAATAAAATAGATAAACCTTTGATTAATTTGATTAAAAAAAGAAAGAAGAAAGACAAATTACCAGTATCAAAAATGAAAAGAGTGAATTAATCATCAATGAAGAGGAAATTAAAACAATAATTAGGAGCTATTTTGCCCAACTGTATGCCAATAAATCTGACAATCTAAGTGAAGTGAATGAATATCTACAAAAATATAAATTGCCCAGATTAACAGAAAAGGAAATAAAATACCTAACCCCATTTCAGAATAAGAAATTAAACAAGCCATCAATGAACTCCCTAAGAAGAAATCTCCAGGGCCAGATGGATTAACAAGTGAATTCTACCAAACATTTAAAGAACAGTTGCTTCCAGTACCATATAAACTATTTAGAAAAATAAGTGAAGTTCTGCCAAATTCTATTTATGATACAAATATGGTGCTAATACCTAAACTGGGAAGAATCAAAACAGAGAAAGAAAATGATAGACCAATTTCCCTAATGAATATAGATGCAAAAAATTTAATTTTAATTTTAATATATAATAAAAAAAATAATAATAAATAATAAAAATAAAAAATTAAAGAGATTACAGCAACTTATCATGAGGATAATACATTATGATCAGGTGGAATTTATACCAGGAATGCAGGGTTGGTTCAATATTAGGAAAACTATCAGCATAATTGACCACATCAACAATAAAATTAACAGAAATCATATGATTGTCTCAATAGATGCAGAAAAAGATTTTGACAAAATACAACACCCATTCCTATTAAAAACACTGGAAAGCATAAGAACAAAAAGCATAGGATGTCCATTATCACCACTGTTATTCAATATTGTACTAGAAATGTTAGCTTTAGCTATAAGAGAAGAAAAAGAAATTGAAGGAATGAGAAAAGGCAGCGAGGAAACAAAACTATCACTCTTTGTAGATGACATGATGATATACTTAGAGAATCCTAGAGGGTCAAGTAAAAGCTAGAAATAATTAACAACTTAAGCAAAGTTGCAGGATATAAAGTAAACCCACCTAAATCATTGGCATTTCTTTATATTACTAACAAAATCCAGTAGCAGGAGATAGAAAGAGAAATTCCATTTACAGTAACTGTAGACAATATAAAATATTAGGGAGTCTACCTGCCAAGACAAACCCAGTAACTATATGAACACAATTACAAAACACTTTTCACACAAATAAAGTCAGATTTAAATAATTAGAAAAATATCAGTTGCTCATGAACAGGCCAAGCTAATATAATAAAAATGACAATTCTACCTAAATTAATTTACTTTTTCAGTGCCATGCCAATCAAACTACCAAAAATTATTTTATAGAGCTAGAAAAAATAATAACATAATTCATCTGGACGAACAAAAGTTCCAGAATATCAAGGGAATTACTGAAAAGAAATGCAGGGGAAGGTGGCCTAGATGTACCAGATCCAAAACTGTATTATAAAGTGGCAGTCATCAAAACTACTTGGTACTGGCTAAGAAATAGAATAGTGGATCAGTGTAGTAGGTTAGGTACACAAAACACAGTAGTCTTACAGTAATATACTGTTTGATGAACCCAAAGACTCCAGCTTCTGGGATAAGAACTCACTATTTAACAAAAACTCCTGGGAAAACTGGAAGACAGTATGGAAGAAACTAGGCATAGACCAACATCTTATACCACATGTACCAAGATAAGGTCAAAATGGGTACATGATTCAGACCTAAAAGGTGAAACTATAAGCAGATTAGGAGAGCAAGGAATAGTTCACCTGTCAGATCTGTGGAGAAGAACTCATGACTAAACAGGAAATAGAGAACATTATGAAATACAAAACGGATAATTTTGATTACATCAAATTAAAAAGTTTTTGCAGAAACAAAGCCAACACAACCAAGACTAGAAGGAGAGCAGAAAGTTGGGAAACAATTTTTACAGCTAGTGTTTCTGATAAAGGCCTCATTTCTAAAATATATAGAGAACTGCGTTATATTTATAAGAATACAAATCATTCCCCAATTGATAAATGGTCAAAGGATATGAACAGGCAGTTTTCAGAGGAAGAAATTAAAGCTATCTGTAGTCATATCAAAAAATACTCTAAATCACTATGGATTAGAGAAATGCAAATCAAAACAACTCTGAGGCACCACATCACAGCTGTCAGACTGGCTAACATGACAAAACAGCAAAATGATAAATGTTGGAGAGGATGTGGGAAAATTGGAACACTAATACGTTGTTAGTGGAGTTGTGAACTGATTGTTCCATTCTGGAGAACAGTTTGGAACTATGTCCAAAGGTCTATAAAACTGTGCATGCCCTTTGATCCAGCAATATCACTACTAGATCTGTATCCCAAAGAGATCATAAAGATGGGAAAAGGACCCATGTACAAAAATATTTATAACAGCTCTTTTTGTGGTGGCAAAGAATTGGAAATTGAGGGGATGCCAATTGGGGAACGACTGAACAAGCTGTGATACATGAATGTAATAGAAGACTATTATTTCATAAGAAATGGTGAGCAGGAGAACTTCAGAAAGACCTGGAAAGACTTGCATGAACTGATGCTGAGTGAAGTGAGCAGAACCAGGAGAACACTGTGCACAGTAACAGCAACATTTTGTGATGACCAGCTTTGTTAGACTTAGCTCTTCTGATGAGCAATGCAGTAATCTAAGACCATTCCAAAAGACTCATGTTGAAAAATACTATCCACATTCAGAGAAAGTACTATGGGGTTTGAATGCAGATCAAAGCATACTGTTTTCTCTTTCTTCTGGTTTTTTTTTTCTCATGGTTTTTCCCTCTTATTCTGATTCTTCTTTCACAACATGACTAATGTGGAAATATGTTTAATATCATACAGGTACAGCCTATATCAAATTGCATGCTGTCTTGGGGAAGAGAGAGTGGAGGGAGAGGGGTAAAATTTAGAACTCAAAATCTTATGAAAGTGAATGTTGAAACTAAAAATAAATTTAAAAAAAAGAGGAAAGAGTTTGATATGGGAATCAGCATGAATTAGAAAGCAGCATTTTAATGAAACCTTTGAGGTAAGATCTTGGTTAGATTTAGTTATGGTGAATAACTATTGAGAGTTAACATAATTTTACAAAGAATTACACTGAGCCTAAGGATTTCTAATAGGCATAAGTGAAGAGAGAGTGCATGGGAGATGATAGTTTGTGTAAAGACATGAATATGGGAGAGGGATTGTAAGATAAAAAAAACAGCAAGTAGACCAGTGTGACTGAAATGTAGAATACATAAAAGGAGGAGTAATGTGAAATAAGTGTGAAAGGGTAGGCAGGAGTCAGATTGTCAAAGGTTTTAAATGCCAGGGTGTGAAGTTTAAATTTAAAATGTTATTGGATGCTATTGGAAAATTTTGAGCTGAGGGATAACATGGTCAGACTCATGCTGTACAAAGGTTATTTTGGCAGCTGTGTGGAGAGGGAGCAGAAAAGAAACAGGAGGGCAAATTAAATGCTAAAACTACCAGCGTAGATATAAATCTTGATTTATAGTGATGGCAAAAACACAAAATCTATTAGTTTAAAATTTACCTTTTGTTCTGTGTATTATTTAGTTTCTTTAAAAAATACTCCTTTTAGGCACAGTGGATAGAGCACCGGCCGTGGATTCAGGAGGACCCGAGTTCAAGTGTGGCCTCAGACACATCACACTTACTAGCTGTGTGACCCTGGGCAAGTCACTTAACCCCATTGCCTAACCAACAAAAAAAAATACTCCTTTTAAAATTGTGTTTCACAATTACTGCGTAATCATAATTGGTGGAAATGATGGGTAGCTTAGATTGGGAAATGGTTAAAACAAGTGTTACATGAATATAATGAAATATTACTGTACTGTAAGAAATGATAAATCTGAAGAATACAGAGAAGCTTGAGAAGAGGTATATGAAATGCAAAATGAGTACACAGAGTCCGGTAAAGAACATATACCAAGATGACAACAATGAAAATGAAAACAAGAAGAATGAGTCAGAGGACTTAGGTTCAAGTCCTCCCTCTAACAGTTCTTACCTATGTGAAATTAGGCAAATCACTTAGCCTCTGGGCCTACTCCTATGTAAAATGAGAGTGGTTGTCTAGTTGGCCTCTAAGGGCCCTCCCAGCTTTAGACCTAAGTTGCTATGAATACGGCCTTACGCTGTTGAATCAGCCTGGTCTTAAAGAAGACCTTCATTGGAGAGGTGGAGGTCAGTGGCTGTGGAACATTACACTGTCACATTCTGTTGGTTAGTCTTGCTGAACTGTTTTCTCTCTCTCTCTTTTTTTTCATTTGTTACAAAGGGAGTTCCATGGGTAGGGAAGTGGGGAGAGATAGATTTCAAAATTAAGTAATATAAAAACAAAAGAGTAATAAAACATTTTAAAAAGCAGGTTTAATAGGCATGTTTGGGTTTTTGGTTTTTTTGTTGGTAATTTTATACTGGTATTTAAAATGTGTTGTTTCTGTGTTCTTTCTCTCCCCTCCCTCCCCCAACATCATTATTACTTCCCAATAGAATACTCCCTTGTAACAGTAAGTATGATCAAGGAAATAGAGCAATACTTTGGCCACATCTGAAAATATATGCCTCATTCCATATCTGTTTTCCCCTATCTTTTTTCCAGTAGGTAGAAGGCATATTTTATCATAAAATCTTCTAAATTGACAGTTGGTGACTGCATTGATCAGAATTCTGAAGTATTTCAGTGTTTTATTTTCCTTTACCTTATTGTTATCATTATGTAAGGTGCTCTGGTTCTTTGCCACCCATCACCTCATTCAAGATTTTACAAATTTCTCAGAATTATTCATATTTTTAATTTCTTACAACACAGTAATATTTAATACAGAAAAGTCAACTATTATTGATACCACTGTTTGTTTAGCTGTTACCCAGTTGATGAGTACCCATTTTATTACCAGTTTTTATTACAAAAATGTGCTATTATAAATATTTTTATATATGTGACCCCCTGGATATATACCTAATAGTTGTATTCCTGGATAAAAGGGTATATACAGTTGAATGATTCTTTTAAGAATAATTTCAGATTTTTTTTTCCCCAGAAGTGGACTAATTCACAGCTTCTTCAACAGAACATTAGGGTTCCTGTCTTTCCATAGTCCTTCCAACATTTATGGATTTCATTTTTCTCATCTTTGTCTTTCTGTGTGAAGTGAATCAAAGTTGTTTTGATTTATACTTCTCTTATTATTAGTGATATGGAGGGTTATTTTATATGGCTTCTTCTTTTGAAAAGTACCTGGTCCTAGCCTTTGTCTATTTGTCAAGTGAAGAATGACTCTTACTATATATTTATGTCAGTTATATTTTTATCTTATATATCCCATTTTCATCTGCTGAAATTTTTTTTCCTAGTTAACTGCTTTGTTTCTGAAGCTTTTTAAGTTTATATAATTGGATTGTCCCTTATATCTCTTACGATAATATTTATCCTTTGTTTAGAAAAGAATTCTTCCTCTAACCATAGTTGTGTAAAATACTTTAATTTTTTTACAATTTCACATTCATAATACATAAATTTCAGCTATTTGGATGTAGAAAATGGTCATCTATCCACTTGAAGCTTGTTGTATGTGGCATAAGATGTTTAATTAAATGAATTTTCACCAAACTGCTTTCTAGTTTTCCTAGCGTCTTTTGTCAGATAGTGAGTCCTTATTCCAGTAGTTGTCATACTTTATCAAATAATGGTTTATCAGAATACCAAATAATCAAATAATGGGCTACTGTGTTTGGTTGCTTCTGGTCTTGCTTACTTGATGCATCCCATTGATCGATTTTTCTATTTTTTCACTACTACCTAATAGTTTTATTGATCTTTGCTTTAAGGTAGAGTTAAGTTCTGGTTGTCTTCATTTTTACTTTTTTATATACAGTTTTCCATTGGAATATAATTAGCCAAAGCTACTGAAATGTCATTACTTTTTTTTAAACTTTTGTTGTCCTAGTAGAAAAAGTATCTTAATTTACTTCTTTATTCTTATTAGGTCTGTTTCAAAACCAGAAAGATTTAGTGGAGACAACATAATCTACAAACCACCAGGGGTAAGTTTATTGGAAAAGTGATCTGCTACTTGTTATCCATGGTATTTCAGCTCTTGCCTCTATGAATCATTTATGGATATATAAAATTTCTAAATAACTCCATTTATTTATTAAGCTGCTACTTTGTTTCCAGGGACTGTGTCTTTTGGACAAATGTTTATAGAATTCGTGAGAGAAAAGAGACCTTTTATGTAGTTATTTGGTTCAATGTCACTAAATAGTCTTCTGTTAAACTAAAATTTAGTACCCAGTTTGTATCTGGGAAGCATCTTATTAATTTATATGGCTTAATATGATATACATTGATAAATGTACTGATATGTTCAAATATCTAATAACTTAAATTCAAAGAAAATTTAAATGTTAGTTTTTTTAAAGACATTACTTTGAAATGATTCATCTATCTAGTATTGGTTCATTTTTCTTCCTCTTTATGAAATTTTGATGTATGCCATAGAGATTGTTTTAATTGCTAGGTTCTTGGCTACAAGGAGTTTTGTTTGTAGCATAGCTTAGTAAATTTTTGTAAAGAAAATTCTAGGTGTTATAATTTCCTTTGATGCCTGATGTTAGTCCAGAATCAAACAGGTAAATTAATAAGGTCAGTTATTGAGAAAATCAGATATTATGTGTAAGGTACATGTGTTTTAATTGGTAAGGCTACATAGTAAGGCAATCTCACTATTTCAGAAATCATTTTTTCTTCCATAGGGTTCCAAACATTTTAAATTAGTCAACTATTTATTTGAGCTGCACTTTTTAAAATATTACTATCACATAGGGGGAAAGGATATTACATGTCATTATTAATTGTGAAAGTGATAATAGCCAGCTTTTATATAACACTTTACAGATTACAAAATGTTTTCCTCACGAGGTAAAATGACTTCTGTAAGGTCATCCAGTTAAGTAGCTGAGCCAAGTCTTAAACCTAGATCTTCTGACTCTAAGTTTAGTGCCCTTTCTGCCACATTATGTAGTTTATAAAGATATGTAGGCAATGCTTTTATTTTCTCAGAATGCTTTCTCTTGGCTGTTACAGTGAATCATAATGTTTTATTTTAGCCAATATTACATTCAGCCATGCTGTCCTACTAAAAAAACTTTTGAATCAAAACCATTAACAAAGAACACAATTAGCTACTGAAAGGTAAGTCCTTCCACATACTTTACCTTGTAGAGAAGACCTGAATAAACTAGAAAAGTTCAAATAAGGAGTTGAATAAACAAAAAGCCGAGATAAGTTAGCAATCCCTAATAATCATATAGCCTTCTGAATAATTAGTCACTTTATAAAATTAGAATATAAAATTTTTTCGTTAGAAACATTATCTTATGCTTGTTTTCTTATTCATACATTGCCTTAGTCATACAATGCCTACATTATTGAGCATGAAGGCATTCAGTACATACTTGATAGTTAAATTTTAATGATGAGTTATCCAGTTAATTGATTAAACATGCCGTCTTAAATCGGTTGTACTTTCCAAGTACCTGCAAGAATTGTTACCAAAACGGAGGGGCAGCTAGGTGGTGCAATGCATAGATCTCCGGCCTTGGAGTCAGGAGGACCTGAGTTCAAATTTGGTCTCAGACATATGACACACAACACTTACTAGCTGTGTAACCCTGGGCAAGTCACTTAACCCCGATTGCCTAGCAAAAAGAAAAAAAAAAGAACTGTTACCAAAACTTTGGTTCAATTTCTTTTCCTAACAGGAACATGCTCCAGATATGGTATACCTGGGATCTCTAACAAATTTTGACTTGACTTATGCTTGGACTCAAGATAAATGTGTTCCTCTTGTTCGGGAAATAACATTTGAAAATGGAGAGGTATGGAATTTTTAGCATTGTATTTTTAACTTATATTTTTCTAAGAGCAAGGTTTCTGTATCCCTCAGATGTAGAAATAACTCATTTGTGTGCTTTTATAATTGAAGATGGAGAAAAAGAAATTACTGCCTTTATGGCCCCCTGTTCCTTTTAACACAGATTTAATCATAGTAAAAATGAAAGCTCTACTAAAGTCTTCCTAATGCTTCATCTTGATTGGAGGTGACCTTTGATTTTTCAAAGACTATTCCAGGAGAGTGTAAGTAAGTTTTGGCAGGTCCTATTAAGGTGGAAAAGATGGTGGTAGACTATATGCATGCATTTCATCTGGGGACCCACAAAGCTAAATGTGGAAAGCCTATCATCAGAAGACTGGCCAGTATAGGGAATGAATTTTTTTCAGCCACAGCAGCTTGTGAAGACCTTCTCCCAGGATACGGAAGGGTTGTGCTCTCTATTGATAGAAGGAGTGATGATACTGCCAAGATCACGATTAAAGTATACATCTAAGTAAAAATGAGCATGACTACAAAGCTAGTTAGAATTACAAAATTCTATGTCAAAGTTACTTTAGTGTTCTACAAGGTACCTGTATATATAGTGCTTCTTTGTATATCATATTTTTAAATAATAATTATGATAATTTATATTCATATAGTGCTTTGAGGTTTACAAAGTGCTGTCATTGCAACTAACTATCTCCTTTGAGATAATGCAAGTAGCATTCTTGTTTTTTAGATGAGAAAGAAGCTTAGAAAGGATTAAATCACTTGCTTGTGGTCACATAGCTAATAGTATCTGAAGATTTTTTGATTCCAAACCCAGTGGTCTTTCCTCTGTATCAGGTGTTCTTATGATGTCTGATTATAGATTTGAGGAGGTCATTGAACTTGGATGGGGAGAAAAATTAAATCTTTATTTTAACTAACGCTTTGTTTCCTTTGTAATCCTATGTTTTATTTTATGTATTTAAAAACATTATTCTAAGAAAGGGTTCCTAGGCTTCTCTGGTCTACCAAAAATATTATGAACACCTCTTTGATACAATGCCGCAATGATTTTATGTATATGTACATACATAATATATGTATACGTATCCTACATAAGTACTTTCTCCAGTCTGTATCTGAATAATAATTGTGTGCTATTTGAAGATAGAGACAAAGCAGTTAACTCTTTGTGTCCCCCCTGCCAAATCCAGACACACACCAAAATAAAATCCACCTAAACTCTTGAGTTTTGTACCATTTTGTAAAATAAATTCCCAAAAGATCCAGGAACCTAAAAAGAGAAAGATTGAAAAATTGAACTGGTTTTTCAGCCCAACTGACTCTTAGGTCTTGCTTTTCTTATCCCATGTGAGTTGTTTTGAAATACATTCATTTTAAGTAAAACACTCTTTTGTACAAAGTAACATGACTACCTCCCCTAAAATAGGTCATATGTAGTTGCTGAGCCTTTCAGAGGTCAAGAGGATGAGGCAAAGTTGCTGAACCCAGACTCAGAATAGATAAATCACAAATTATGCCACTTCAGTAAAATGTCTTTTCAAGCAGTTAAGGTTTCATGAAACCAGAGTAAATGCCCCATTTTGTTTGCTATAAAGGGATTTTACCTTTACTTGAAAGTCATATGACTTCAAGTTACAGATACATTACCAATTCACAAACAAACTTTGTAAACCTTGAGAGCTGTTAGGTTGTCGGTTTCTGAGACTGCTTAAAAATCTCTTATAATCTTTTGAGATGCTTTTAACTCCTAGATAGAAGTGGAAAGTCCATAGGTTTAGAGCCAAAAATGACCTTAGAAGTCATCTAGGCTGACCTCTTTTATAGGTGAGAAAAAGTTTCAGAGATGTTAAATGCCCAAGGTATTACAGATACTAGGTGACAGTTTTGAGCCAAGGTTTCCTGCCTCTTTAGTACTCTTTCCTCTGAACACCTCATATTAATATTTTGAGGTAAAACCATATCTTTTTTTCCTGTAACTTATGTTTTTTCTTTTAACTATTTAGGTGTAATGCTGTGTTAATACATATATGTTAAGTATTATAATTAATTCATTGTCAATGCTATTTTTAAGCAAAATGTAGTTTTCCTGTTTGTTTCTTTAAATGAAGTCGATTTTTACCATTGCCGTGTCTGCGATCATGATTTTTACCTCCTTTTTTTTTTAGTTCAGCTGAGGAAAAATAGATTTTTGCTCTAGTCCCTTATTTTAACTCTGTAGAAGTCTTTATGTTTCAAGTGTGTTTCTTGTAAACAACATATTGTTGGGTTCTGCTTTCTTATCTGTTCTTTTTCCATTTTATCCATGAGTTCATCCTATTCACATTTACAATTTTGTTTGCTAATTGTGTATTTCTCTCTCTTAAACTTTTTCTTTCAATTAAATGCAGTAAACATTTATTAAGTGCCTAATATGTGCCAGTCACTGTGTAAAGCTCTGAGGATACAAATAAGAAAAAAAAATACAGTCCTTGCTCTCAAGCCGCTTACGATCTAATGGGGAAAGACAAAACACACAAGGAAACTAGAAAACAAAGTAGGGGTGTAGGGGAGGAAGTCACCAGTGGTACCTTGTTCTGAGCAGTTGAAACTAAGCAGAGCTTGTAATCATAGGTTTTTTTCTTTCTTTTTAAAACCCCCTTCAGAACTTACCTTGGAGTTTGGGGTTTGTTGTATTTGTGACTAACCTACTGTCTCTGAATCTGCTTTCTCTTTTATTCTCCCTTTTTTCCTGTCATTTTCCTGTTGTGTTGTATATATTTCTACACCATATTGTGTGTGTGCGTGCGTGCGTGCGTGCGTGCTCCACCCTGATTTTACCAGTTCAGATAAAAATGAGGTTCAAGTGACTCCTGATCCCTTATACCTTCCTTTTTTTTATGTAGACTTCTACTTGCGCCCTCTGATGTGATCATATTCTTCCCTAGTGTATCCTTTTTCCTTTCCTTACCATTCTTCTTTTAAAATCATTAAAACCTATAAAATCCACTCCCTGTCCCTCTGTTTTGACTCCTTCTATAATCTTTAATGATAGTGGGTTTCTGAGGGAACCCTTCCTATTAATATGTAAACCCTTTATCCTTATGATAGCTCATTTATATTTACCTTTTTATGTTTCTCTTAATTACATTATTTATGTTTCAGAGTTTCTACTCAGCTTTTCATCTGGGATGTATAGAGGTCTTCTGTGTCATTAAAGATCAATTTTTGTCCTGTAGGAATTATATGCAGTTTCCCTGGGTAAATTATTCTTGATTGTAAGCCTCTTATCTTTTTGCATCATGAAATGTTGCATTCTGTGCTTTCCCCTCCTTTATAGTGGTTGTCGCTAAAATTTGTGTGACCTTGACTGTGGTTTCTTGGTATTTGAATTTTCTTTCTAACTGTTTGTAGTATTTTTTCTTTGACCTGGGAGCTCTAGATTTTGGGTGTGACATTCCTAGGAGTTGTTATTTTGGAGTTTCAGGATGTATCTGTAAATTCTTTCTACTTTTTTACTTTGTTTTCTTGTTCTAACATATCTAGGCAGTTTTCTTTCATAATTTCTTTTTTATATAAAATTCAATTTTATTTTGTTTTCAGCTCTTAATTCTTTTCCTCCCATCTCTTCCTCCCTCCACTGAGAAAGCAAGAAAAATCCATTGCAAACATGTACAGTCAAATAAGACAAATTTCCTCATTAGCCATTGTCCAACAAAAATGCTTCAATCTGCACTCAGAATCCATTACCTCCTTATCTCGAGGTGTGCAGCATGTTTTTCATAAGCCCTCTGGAATTGTGGTTGGTTCTTAACTTCTAATTTTTAGGGAATCTATCACTTGGATGAGGTTTTGTATTTCTTGTACTAAGTTATTAATTCTTTTCGGGATTCATCTTCATAGATCATATTTCTCTTTCAATTCTTTCCTCTAGCACTGTCGTTTCATTTTTTTTTTTTAATGAGGCAGTGGGGTTAAGTGACTTGCCCTGGGTCACACAGCTAGTGAGTGTTATGTGTCTGAGGCCAGATTTGAACTCTGGTCTTCCTGACTCTTAAGGCTGGAACTCTATCCACTGTGCCACCTAGCTGCCCCTCATTTCATTTTTAATATCATTTTTTAAATTTTTAATATTTCTTCATATTTCTTTAAGGAATTCTAAATGTTCTTGTGGCCAAGCTGTGTTTTTCTTTTAAGGCTTTGCTTATACATATTTTGGAGTTATTCTCTTTTGGATTTATGTCTTATTCATTTTACCATTGGGAATTTTTATTAGGGCCAGAATTTATTCACTTCTGCTGGGACTGTCATGGCCTTATGTAGTTTTGGCCTGTCTTATCTAGTGTCCTGGTATTGTGTTTTGTGACCTTCAAGGATAGGGATGGCTTCGATGAGTGAGCTGCAAATTTTCAGCAGACCTGTGTGGTCCGATCAAGGGTGCAGTCTGATCACTGCCATTTCAGAGCCTGGTTTGGGTCTTTGCAGTAAAGCTGTAGGTTTGCAGATTGGAGGTCCAGAGAAAAATGTGCTGGCCTTAGCCCATCTCAACTGGCTGGGTCTATGGGTATCAAGTGATACTGCTTCCAATTTACATCTATTCTTTACCCTGAGTTTGCCGTGCCCAATCTATGTCAGACAGATGGAGCTGAAGCTCTGTTATACATCCGGTCCTAAGTGTGTGATGATTCGTTCTCCTGGATTAAAGCAACAAAGCCCTAGTCTTGTTCTGCTTTGGGTATCTGGCTCTGGGAACTCCTTTGTGCTTTAAGCAGCTGAGCTGCAGTCCTGTGCTTTGCCTTGGGGTTTGAATCCTTAATCTACCTTCAGGTTTTAAGGGAGAGTGAGACAGTGCTGCTGGCCAGTTTTGTTCCCCTTGTCTGGTTCTGCTCTCCTGGCCCATTCCTGCTCCACTATTCCTGCCTTGGTTACTTACCTGAGGGTGGAATTTGTAATCTTAGTAAAGAAAGATGATCTTCTGCAGTTATTCCTTCTTTAGATCTTTGTTGGAGTAGT